AATTGTGGCCACAAACCAGGCAGGAGAAGTTTCAAGCCCTTGGACTATGGTTCACACCCTAGAATCTTCCCCAAGTGGACTGAGCAACTTTGCAGTGGAACAGCAAGAGAACGGACGAGCATTGTTGCTACAGTGGTCGGAGCCTGTAAGAACCAATGGTGTGATTCAGGTAACGTCTACCCTGAATATGAAGTCACTTTTGGTGTTCTCCAGATAAATAGATGAGCCCTGACATGCCATCATGTCACTGTGGGAAAACACCCTTCACAGTCGGTTTAATTCTCCTTGATAGCTCCTCCAGGCACTTAATCATAGATCAGACAAAATTGGCTCCCATGTATTATGTTTCCTATGAACCCAACACTGGGCTAAGTGCTCTCCGTGGATTATCTCATTTAATTTTCACATCAGCTCTACCAGGTAGGTACCACTAAACTTCATGAGGTATAATAAAGGCTGAATAATTGCGCAAGCCCACATTGCAAATGACCGAATTGCAATTTGAAGTCAGGAAGTCACACCAAAACTGAACTCGAAATGACTGTTCTTACTGCTTCCTGAGTTATCCTGCCCAGTTATTTACTCAAGGCTTGCCTATCTTATGCTTTGAGCAGAGCCCTCTAAGCAGAAGACATGAAGCCCCAAATGTCTGCTAACTCCCCCACCTCCATATATAACCATGAGGAGTTATCTTATTAATGTCACAGATATGTCTCACATTTCACTGGTCTATGAGCACAAAGAAAGTTGCATTTCCATTATTAGACCACGTTTTGATACTTTGAACCATCACCCACATGAAAGCCAGCATTCGTCTCCCTTTGTAACGTTCCTCCCCAATGGTAGGGGGACTTACCTGTCAGTCTACTACTGCCTCTAGCCCTGGACCAGCATTTGGCCCTCATCACCTACCTTCTGCAGAATTCCCCAGCCCACAGCTGCCCAAGTCCCTCTGCCCTCCCTTACTGCTCCCTCTCAAGGTGGCCAAGAGTCCCCTGTTAATGCTACACAGAACAGTTAAGACTAAGCTGTAACTTTGTTGAAAGCTTCACTGAAAACCCAGTAAGGAATATGACAGCAGAAATGACCTACAGCAACAACGTACAACTGTAACAAGAGCTCACAGGCCGAGGCCCATCCTCATGGGCCTCCATGGAGCAGCCTTACTGCTTAGTCCAATGGCTGCCTCTCAGCGGAGTTCCGGGCCTGCCGCAGGCAGCAGAAGCAAGCGGCTTTCTACAAGCCTGCTTACATGTGACAGAGCCTGACTTCCCCCACTCGAGGACAGGAGGCTTGAGCGAGAGGATCTGCGGTCTTAAAATCCAGCCCAGAGCCCTAAGATCTCATCAGAGAAAAGAATCTCTCTTCAGGCTCATCAAAGTACCTCTCTTTGTGAGTGTTTGTGTCCCATTCCAGTGTCTGCCTTTTCCTGGCATGATTGACAATAGAATATCTACTCCTTTACCTTCATTTACATTTTGCCAAATATTTATTGAGCTTCTACTAAGTACCAGGCATCTTTTCAGGAGTGAACATGACAGGCAAGATCCCTGCTAGCATACACCTTACCTGTGTGTGTGTGTGTGTGTGTGTGTGTGTGTGTGTGTGTGTGTGTGTGTAAATAAACAGTGGGGGGTACAGGGAGGCAAACCAAAAAAAAGCTAGTACACAAATAAGCAAGAGAACTTCAGAGCAGGATGAATACTATGAAGAAAATTAAACAGAATAATGTAATTATGCCTGCTCAGGCTATTTTAGAATGGATGATCATTTGAATTGAGTTGACATCTGAGCTGCGTCCTGAATGACAAGACCGAGTCAGTCATGTGAAGATATGAGAGCAAAATGTTCCAGACAAAGTGAGCAGCAAATGCAAGGCCTGAAGCCAGGAATGAACTTGATGTATTCAAATAAAGGGAAGAAAACACTGTGGTTGAAGCACTGGGAGTGAGAGAAAGATGAGATTGGCAGATTGGTAAGAGGTGGACTGTGCCCAATATTGTGGGCTGTGGTGAGTTCGGGATTTATTCTAAGGGCAATGAAAAATTACTGAAGGTTTTAGGCAAAGGTGTAGCATAATCAAATTCATGTTTTTCAAAATCACTCTGGCTGCTATGTAGAAAATGGACCCTAAGAAGATCAGTGGAGTTTAGGAGATATTAAAAACTCAGGGTAGAGTGAGGGGGTGCTGTGAGAGTAGAGGATGTGGGTGGAGTGGAGATACATCCAGAAAGCAAAGTTCACAAGATCTGTCAATGGACTGGATGTGAACATGAAGGAAAAGGGATATTTTAGGCCTTGAATCATTGACAAGGAAGGTAAGGTTGGAAAGTCTACAGGTTTGAAGGGGCATGTAGGCAGTTGGAGGTATGAGTCTAGAATTCTCGAAGCAGTTCTTCACAAACATAAATACATATATTTGGAATTCATTAGTATATAGGTGGCATGTAAAGCCATGGGCCTGGAGGAGATCAGGCATAGAGAATATAACTAGAAATGATGAACAGCAAGGATCAAGTTCTGGGGAATACAGAAATTTGGAGGTCCAGAGGAGGAAGTGGGCCCAGCAAAGAATATTGAGAAGAGGCAGGCAAGGTAGAAGGAAAAGTAGATGAGCAGGGCATCCCGACACTGTGGAAAGAGTCTGTTGAATGCTCTTGAGAGATCATGTGGAATGAGGGCAGAGAAGTCACCCTGGATCAGGAAACAAGGTAATCACTGTGACCTTGACAGGAAAGTCAAGTGGTGAAATGAGGAACCTGGTTGGGATGACCTGAGGACAAAATGGGAAGAGAAGGAATGGAGGACAGCAACTCTTTAAAAAAGTATAGGGTACAAGCAGAGAAACAGGGCAGTAGCTGGCGGACTATAGTGTCAAGAAGTTTTATTTAAAAATCAATGAAAGATACTAGAGTACATTTAAACACTAATGGAAATAGCCCAGTAGACGGAGATCAATCGGCGATGCAAGAGATAATGAGAATGATTGCGGGAGTGAGAGCTATAGGAAGGAGGAGGTATGGGATCCAGAGCTCAGGTGGGCTACACAGGGGCAGAGATACTTTCCAGAGCATGAGGAAGGACAGCAAACAGTGTAAGTCTAGATCCACATGGTTATGGTGATGATCATATATAACATGAGAATATTCCTTTCTGACTGCTTCTCTTTTCCCAATCAAGCACATGGTTCTGTCAACAGCCACCTGTGAGACAGGGAGGAGGGTATTGGCAGGTAGTGGGGAAAAAAGAAGATATGGAAGAATCACTTTGGAAAATGAAAGAGCAAACATACGGAGGAATAGAACAGGACCACAAGTGGGAATCACCCAGTTAACATTTCTAGTAAGAAAGTGAGACCAGTCAGCATATCTGAGTGTTTTCCCCCAAACCAGTTAGAAGCTAAAGTACAGAGGTAAAGCTAAATTTAATACCAGTAACAGATTTGCTAGGTGAATATGAAGGGGCTCAGTGACTAATAGAGGCTCTCAATTTGATTCTGGAAGCTAATCTCTCTTCAGAAAATATACTGTTTCTCTTCCCTCAGAGGTGTGGGTTTGCCCTCGGACTCCAACTAGAAAAAAATATCACACTGAAATACAATAGTCCAACATAAACAAATTTCCAAAAGTCTAGGCTATTTCATCTTAAATAACATCAAAGTATATCAACAGTCCATTCCAAGTTAAGTTTCCTTGTGAGAATGTTTCAAACTAGATTTGCCTCCCCAGAGATTCTATGTCCCAGCCCCACTTGAGGGAGGCCACCCTAGGGAGGTACCACCATCCACAGGAATGTATCGTGTCTCTCAGGTGCACTGAGGCTGGAAAAGGGCAGGAAATCACTATACAAAACATCTGTATTCAAGTTGAGTTACTTCCTATCTTTCCCAAAAAACAATGAATAATATGGAATGAAAATTTGCTCTACATTTATAATGAGTGCTCAGATGATTCTCCCCATAACAAAAGAACATGTTGCTTCAGAGAAGCACTCATGGCACACAAGAGAGCACAGGATGGCTCCTCCATCTTCTCCTCATCAAAGCATGCATCTGTATTTGTGCATATATGTATAACAGATATATATGTGTATGTGTGCATGTATGTGTACCCACACATGGATGCACAGACATCTCCAGCCCTGGCACCCTAGTACAAATGATTAAGCATTATAAATCCATTCTCTAGTAAATGCTGTAGGAGATAGACAATGTAGATAAGTCCTACTTACCCCACCCAAAATGAGATCCAGAGTTCTTGTCATCTCTATAACAGGGGATTCGAATACTGTTCCTTTAAAAATAAATAAATAAATAAATAAGAGGAAACCCCATGAGCAATTTTTGAGCCCAAGAATAGCTTCTATAGTCCTTAGCTTTTAGATATGTGTTTACATGATATCCAATACTTTAAAAAAAGGCAAAGAAAACTGTTGGTCTTCTTTTTGTGGACTTTACAGTAATCCAAAAAGGGCACACTAGTGAAATTAATATCAGAATGTTTCATCTCGATTGGGATTATCCAGAGGAAAAATAGGAGGGCAAGAAGGGGACAGGGGATGAATTAGCTACACCGAGAAATCATAGGCTACACATGATTATCCCTCTGCGTCTCTTCTCCCTACAGACATACAACATCTTCAGTGAGGGTATCCTGGAGTATACTGGCTTGAATCGTCAGTTTCTCTTCCGACGCCTGGACCCTTTCACTCTCTACACGCTGACCCTGGAGGCCTGCACGAGGGCTGGTTGTACACACTCAGTGCCCCAGCCTCTCTGGACAGATGAAGCCCCTCCCCACTCTCAGCTGGCCCCTACCATCCAGTCTGTGGGGCCCACCAGCGTCGAGCTGAGCTGGGCTGAGCCTGTACACCCGAATGGAAAGATAATTCGCTATGAAGTGGTTCGCAGGTGTTTCGAGGGAAAAGCTTGGGGAAATCAGACAACCCAGGCCAATGAGGAAATTGTTTTCACGGAATATAATACAGAAAGGAACACATTTATGTATACTGATGCTAGTTTGCAGCCGTGGACGCAGTGTGAATATAGAATCCACACTTGGAATTCAGCAGGCCACACCTGTAGCTCCTGGAGTGTGGTAAGGACAATGCAGGCGCCCCCAGAAGGGCTCTCCCCCCCTGAGATAGCCTATGCATCTACGAATCCCCCAAAGTTGCTGATTTCCTGGATCCCGCCAGAACAGCCTAATGGTATTATCCAGTCATATAAACTTCAAAGGAATGGAGCACTCTACCCTTTCAGCTTTGATTCAATGACTTTCAATTACACCGATGAAGAGCTGCTTCCGTTTTCTACATACAGCTATGCGGTCATCGCCTGTTCGAGTGGAGGCTGCTCCCCCAGCAAGCCCACCAGCATTACAACCCTCGAGGCGCCTCCAGCTGGGGTCAGCCCTCCAGCTCTCTGGGCCATCAGCGCTACCCAAATAAATGCATCGTGGTCACCGCCATCAATTCAAAATGGAAAGATCACTAAATATTGGCTGAGACTGGATGGGAAGGAGTACCTGGCTGGGCAGAGCCTGTCCCTGCTGGTGTCCCACCTGCAGCCTCATACTCGATATGATTTCTCCCTGGTGGCCTGCACAAAAGGAGGTTGTACAGCTAGCACATCAAACTCTGCCTGGACAATGGAGGCACCACCGCAGAACATGGACCCTCCAAAATTGCAAGTCACAGGCTCAGAGTCGATAGAAATCACCTGGAAACCTCCCAAAAACCCAAATGGTCAGATCAGAAGTTATGAACTTAGACGGGATGGAACCATCGTCTATACTGGCCTGGAAACTCGTTATCATGATTTCACTCTCACCCCAGGTGTGGAATATGGCTACACAGTGGCTGCCAACAACAGCCAAGGTGGGGTTTTGAGTCCACTCGTCAAAGACAGAACCAGCGCCTCAGCGCCTTCAGGGATAGAACCCCCAGAATTGAAGGCCAAGGGCCCACAAGAGATTTTAGTGAACTGGGATGCTCCAGTGAGGACAAATGGTGACATTGCCAACTACACCCTCTTTATCCGAGAGCTATTTGGTAGAGAAACAAAAACCATACTCATAAACACAACTCATAATTCTTTTGACACACGGTCATGTGTAGTAGACCAGCTGAAGCCATTTCACAGGTAGGTAGTGGACTCCGGGTTTTCTAAGAGCAAACCACTGTCCTTTCTATGGCATGAGCCCTTGGTCAGTTTAAATGAAAACTCTAAAACAAGATGTAGGATGTCCCCGACCCCTGACCCCTTAAGCATTGACAGTGGACTAACCACATCCTCATCCAGCCAAAGCTTGTTTGCATCACTTCTAGAGAGCAAAATTCTTGCAGGTGGTATCTTGAGAGTCAGTTTTTTCAGAAATGTTTGCAATTCACCACAATGTCTGGAACAAGTGATACAGAGAACATATATATGTCGTCCCTCGTGAAAACACACAGACCCCTGGACAGTTCTGAGAGTCCAAATGGGGTTATTTGACCCAGGCTGTGAAGAAAATTAGATAGTATTTTAAGGATGAAAAAGGTGCCAGTGAGAGCTATTACCAGGGAGAGTTGGACTGACCCAAATTTTGTTCTGGGGAGAGCCTTTTTACTGAATCCAGCACTTCTGCCAGGGATAATGAGACTCATCGGACTCTATTTCCTCATCCCCTTAGGATCTCCCCAGCCCTGATCTCATGACTTCCCAGGACCATGACACTTGGCCAGCTCATGCGTCTCAGTGATCCCACTCTGGGCTCTCTGACGTGCATGGTGTGTATTGTCTCTACATGAAGGAACCTTCCCACTGGCCCTTTTTCTATAGCTGAAAGAATTACTTGGCATTTTTCCCCATCGCATTTTAAGTAACTTACATCCCCAGAGAGAAGAGTAATAAAAGACATTTTATGCTTAAAATTTAGTAAAACGAACAGAACCACTTAAAAAAAATTAAAGGCTGAAAGAGTGTTGATTTCCAACCACCACTGGTAAAATTCAGCTATTATTGTAATCTACTGATGTGTAGATTAGATCCCTCCTATAATTATTTCTGATATATAGTGCTGTTTAAATGAAACATTCATGGTCTTATGCATCTACTCATGACAATTATTTAAGGTTGCATTAAATATTAAACAGTAATTAAAACTTGTGTAGGTATCTTTCATAGCTAATCCACATGCTGTGTGTGTTGCCTTTTATCTGACTCTGATTCAGGGCATTAAAGAGACCCAGGTTAGCTGCACAGCTATACATTTTAAACTGACTTCTTCTTTACCTGACTGGTACCTGCAGTTTTTACAAATCATATCAACTTGCTCCCCTTTCAAACTCTTACTCAAAAAGATTTCTAAAGAAGAAAAGCATTTCCAGATGTGAGAGAAGCACTTCTCACAGGCTGGGGAGGGAGAAAAAAGTTTGATAATCTGATAAGCCTAGCAATGATATTTAAGGGGCTAAGAGATGTCCTCTTCACTCTCTATTCAATTGAAGATGTAAGTGACATTAAATCACTTGAAACAGCCTCTCGCTTGTATATGAATTTGGGGTTCATGTAGTTTGTGGTTTTTCTAGCAGCTTAACGTCTACTGAATACTGCAGATTAGTGTGTCCTCCTGGACACCTGCAGCTGGTCAGTAGGAAGAAGAAGCCTGGAAATCCTCTAAGTAGCAAAAGACACATGAGCCAGAATTTTAAAACTACCACAGGTAATCCAGAAAGCAAATAATCCATGTGTAGAAAAAGTACTTCACAGAATTGTTTTGGAGTCGGGTCTGCAATATGCACCCACAAATTGATGCACCCACAAACCAATAGTCCTATCGCAGTGGAGATAAGCATGGGAGGAGCAGACAGGAAAGAGGAGTGGAAACCCAGAATGAAAGATGTCGCAAAAGGAGAAAGAAGTGTAATTAAGAAGAGAAAGTGGGAAAAGAAGAGGCCAGGAGAAATAGAAAAAAAAAAAAAAAGGGAGAGAACAGAAGCAATGATTAGAGGAGAGAAAGGAGGAAAGAGAAGAGGAAAAGGTCAGAACCAAAAGAAATAAAGATAGAAAGAAAGGTGGCTGTGGTTTGAGAAAACCAAGGATGTCGTAAAATCAGTGGGGCATGGGAACAGAGAGGGGAAAGCACTTAAGTGCGGCCATAGGCATTTAATACTAACAAAACCCTCTCTTGTTGGAAAGGGAAAGTCCCAGCTATGTAAATAGACCTTTCCAGGCGGCAGGAGACCAACTATGAGGCAAAACATAATTGATTGGTTGAGTTTAACTGGATGGTGATAAGGTGTCCCCATGATTGATAATCTAGCGTGTAGCTGGGTTTACTTTGGCCCCAAAAGGTCTTTATGTGGTGTAAGAAAGCCTGTTTTAAGCTGTCAGGTATCAGGTGAGGGGATTTATTACCACGGAGACTTTAACTCCATGATGTTCCTTCATGACCTGGAAACATTCCTGGGGAATCATTCAGCTCCAGCTGTGGATGTAGAAAAAGCCCAAGGCTACTGAAAACTGGTTCATATGCCCCAAGATCCGCATTCATCATCACTGTGTTAAGTAATTCTGCAGAGTACCAGAGTTTTTTATGTTACAGAGAATCTTAGAAGTTCATTTATTCCTTACATTCCGGTTTAAGGAAAAATTGTGCCCACCCTTTCCAAACAGATGAGAATCTTTGTTTTAGTTTGGAAAGCCAGGATGGTGTAACACGTGCTACACCGTTCATGGAACTTCGTTGTTCTTTAAAAAGGCTAGCTGCAGATAAGAATAAACATAAACTTAGTTGTCTTTTTCCTTTCAAAAAACAGTCTGTTAAAGATCCTTTCTGTGAAAATCTATTTTGCCAGTAATGGGCAGTTTCTGCCTTGTGTCCTGAAGGTATGAGGTACGAATCCAAGCCTGCACCATGCTGGGATGTGCGTCAAGTGACTGGACATCCACACAGACCCCTGAGGTCCCACCTCGTACGCAACCGCCTCCACATCTCGAGGTCCGGATGGCACCCGGGGGATTCCAGCCCATGGTTTCCCTTCTGTGGACAGGACCACTTCAGCCAAATGGAAAAGTTTTATATTATGAGTTGTACAGAAGACAAATAGCAACTCAGTCCGGAAAATCGAATCCAGTGCTAACTTATAACGGAAGTGCAAGCTCTTTTACGGATTTTGAACTATCACCTTTCACAGAATATGAGTATCAGGTAAGAAATGTGTATTATCACAAATTCACGCCGAGATTGTATCAGCACCTGCCTGTAAAAATCGTTTGCAATTTGAAAAGCCACTTAAAGAAACATGGGGCTTAAGGAATTTAACAAGGTCCTTTAAAAAATTTTTAGGCAGAGGGGGCCTGGGTGGCTCAGTCAGTTGAGCCAAGTTGACTTGGCCTCAGATCATGATCTCGTGGTTCGTGGATTCAAACCCTACATCAGGCTCTGTGCTGACAGCTCAGAGCCTGGAGCCTGCTTCTGATTCTGTATCTCCCTCTCTCTCTCTGACCATCCCCAGCTCAAGCTCTCTCTCTCTCTCTCTCTCTCTCTCTCTCTCTCTCTCAGAAATAAATAAAACATTACAAAAATTTAAAAAATTTTTAAGCAGTAAATGAGGGAGGAAACACCATATTCATTTGCCTTTTTCATTTCCTTGGTCCTTGATCCATGTGAAAAAGGTTTGTTATTCCTATGTAAATTTCAAGTGAAGTATTTGCATTTCTTATTAATGAAGTGATTTCTACCATTAAGCTTCCCTCTGTCAATGTTGCCTTGGCAGGAAACACTCCTTGTTAAGAAAAATCGCTTTGAAAATAACTCATTAATTGTACCAAGATAAAATAAAACGCAGTGGCAAATACCTTCACCCTCTGTGCTCAAGAAAGACATGGAATGTTGAGAAATATCAAGGAAAATAACTCGCCTGCGCATGGGAACGAAGCAAGCTTTGTATGAGAGCAACCTAAAAATTAGGACCTTGCATATCCCTAGAAAGCTGAGAACTGAGAAAAATATTCTGAAAGTATTCTGAAATCTATAGAGGACTTCTGTTAGGTTTACTGTTTTTCTATCAGAGTGCTTTTGATTGTTCTTATGATAGCACCCCCACTTCCTGGCAGGGAGATGATCCTCCACCCCCTTGCCCAGGTTTGGTAGGAGCATCAGCGTATGCATCGGGCAGGCTGTCTCCTAACCAAAAGGTGTGCACATAGGCCATGCTCCACCCCTCAGATTCATCCAGGTCTTGATCTTCAGCACAGTGACTCAGAATTTTAAAAGGTGGAGGTGAGAAGTCCTGATAAAATATCCCCAACCTCAATCCAAAAGCTTTTCTTATTTATCCCTGCTATTTCCGAGCATGATTATTCAACTATCCTTTTACTTCTCCGTACTCCCAATAAACTCCCTTTTGCATAAGTCAGAATCAGTTTGTCGCTAGCAGTCCAGGCTCGCTGATTGATGCAAGCACTAAGGGCCAGGCACAATGCCAAGTGCAGTTTTCTAAAAGACAAAACTGAGGCTTGAAAAGCTTACCTTAACCAGAAATAATAAAATCACTAAGTCACTAGAAATATGTTGAGCAAATCAATGAGTATAGTAATTACAGGTAACATTTTAAGTGTGAGGAGAGTATATTTTTGGCCAATAATGTATGAGACAAATTACCCAATGAAGTTAGTGAAAATTGAAAATGTAAATAGATTCTTGAATGGTTTGTAGAAATACACGGATATATATATCCATAATCTCTTGTTTTCATTTCCAAATCTAAACCTCACTTAAAAATGAGTTTTTATTCTAGTTTTGGCACAACTCATTTGGCACAAAACTCAATCTAAACAAACTTGAGACTGTTTATAGCATTTATCCCGTCTAATGTGAATATTTATATGTTTGCTATAGAAATATCGTGTCTCATTACCACATCATTCTGAGGATATTACAAAATATGCAGTATATGTATTGTATAACCCTTCCAAAATCTGAAAAAAAAAAACCAAAATTATTTAAAAACACATCAAGACCCAAGGGTTTAGGGTGAGGATTATGGTTTATATTATGAAGGAACAAAATACCTATTGATACCACAGTTAGAAACAAGTTTCCAGCATCTATGTGGTTGGCCATCCTTTTGTTCTTTTCTCTATATATTTACTAAACAGTGTAAGTTATCAAAGACTCTTCTATTCTCAATTATCTACTTTATAATTAAAAGCACATCTTTGTGGGGCACCTGGGTGGCTTAGTCAGTTAAACGTCCAACTTTCGCTTAGGTCATGATCTCACGGTTCGTGGGTTCGAGCCCCGCGTCGGGCTCTGTGCTGACTGCCAGCTCAGAGCCTGGAGCATGTTTCAGTCTGTGACTTCCTCTCTCTCTGACCCTCCCCTGCTCACTCTGTCTCTCTCTCTCTCTCCTAGAAATAAATAAAACATTAAAAAAAAAGAAAGAAACATCTTTAAAAAAAAAAAAAGCACATCTTTGTGACAGAGCTGAATGAAATCAGCATGAAACCCTCAGCCTCTAAGTAGATGAAACTAAATGCCCCACTGAGAGGCACCTGGGCAGCTGTTTAGGCATCTGACTCTTAATTGCAGCTCAATCATGATCTCACAGTTCATGGGATTGAGCCCCATGTCAGGCTACCTGCTGACAGCGCAGAGCCTGCTTGGGATCCTCTCAAGTAAATTTAAAGTAAATTTAAAAAGTAAATTTAAAAAGACCCATAGATACTTAAAGTAAACCAGTGATTATAACTTCTTTGGCCTTATGTTGTGTTGTTGGGTTCAATAATTGGCCACATGATCCACAGAAGTTTTATGCCAGTTTTTTGAAGGAATGATAATGCCATGCATGTGTCTTAGCTTTTATGAGTTTTCCTCCTAGGAGCTAAAGACAAGCAGGAGCCAAGGGACTCACAGTTCAGAGGAGACTGGATCTCAGGCTTTGCTGTTCCTATTGTAACCCTTCCCGTTGGCTCTGTGTCATGTTCCTCGTCTTTACTCATTCCACCCAAATGGATGCATTGCATTGGGTTTTCATAACAAACTGGTCTCAAATTTACATTCACTAGCTAATCCTACCTTGTTACAACATAAGGATAGAGAGCAAAAAGATAAAATCTAGACTCTGCCCCAAACTCAGTCCTCACAGGAAATACTTTGAAAAATATAGATTAAGGGCTAGAATAAATGAACTAAAATAGTGGATTTATTTAGCCTGTGTAACTGCTGAGTCTATATAGACCCTGAATAATCATATAGAAGCCATTTAGGATGTAATGTACTAAAAGAATTGATTTCCCTTTTACAAAAGAACATTCTGCTGTTGAGATGAATTTACATTGCTCTCAAATTTGTCTGAGGGTTATTTCATCTGCAAGCTGCCTTTCAGAAAATACCTTCATTGTCCTAGCGACATGAGTTCTCCCAGCATCTGTCAATGATTTGACTCTTCTGCAGAGGATTGTGTTTTTGAGGTAATTTATATTTATATTGGTAAGGTATGAAACTAAAGAACTGAGAAACTGCCCAGAGATATGGACCTATTCATCAAAAGGGTGGAGATGATCTGTAATTGGGTAGGTAACCTTCCATGTGGTATACCAGGAGGGTGTCTGATGCCACTGCCCACCCTACACCATTGTACTCATTTCTGTTTTGGCAGCCGCCAAAATTTATTATGTGGGAAAAACAAGACAGCACTTACTGGAATAAATTCACCAATCAGTTGACCAGTATTTGAGCCCTGGGAGAAAAAAATATAGAATGGATGAGTTTTGATGGACAGAAGGGACAGAAACTATGTTCTTACTGAGAGAAAAGGGGATCTTCGCTTCAGGAAACCCTGGAGGGTGAGAACCAGCCAACATCACCTACCTCACAACAATTCACATAACCAGCTTGATAACTGTTGCATTTGAAGGTGGGAAAAAGCCATGTATATTACAGGCACTTTCTAAGTTTTCAGTGATACTTCCATATTGAACATCTTAAGGAAGTGGTTCCCAGTGTTTCTAGTACAAAAGGATTACCCAAAAAATACGTTCAAAGTGCAGATTCCAAGGGGTCAGGGAGGGGATTCTCAGAATTTGTATTTTTAACAAGCAACTTATATGGCCCACAACCCTTTTTTTTTTTTTTGAGAAATACTGCCCCAGAGGGTATAGCATTGTTGCTATGCTACTTAAGCCGGATTTTTAAGTGGTGATTTCCTAATTCAGTGGCTCTCAGCCCTGACTGCACATTAGAATCACCTGGGGAACTTTAACAACGTTCCCAGTGCCCTGGCCCCATCCCTTTGTAGTTCTGATCCTGGGATGGGTCCAGGCATCAGTGCATTTCAATAGGTCCCCAGGTGATTCTAATGTGCAGCCAGGGCCGAGACTCATAGTCCTAAACCATCATAAACCGATTGCCTAAATAAGTGAAGCCAGCTCTCCACAAGTGCCTCATTTACATGATGATAATTGATGACCAACCTATTTACCTTGGTCTCTCCATGACTTTCCTAAACAGGAGCCCTATTGTTGTGGTGTGAAGCTGGAAAGGGGGCAGCATATATTACCTACAAAGTTCGCGTCTCAATTAATCAACCAATTTCTTCTACTCTTGCTCGTGGCTTTTGTTTGCTTTTTGTTGTTCGATTTTGTTTCGTTTCTCGTTTGGGAGACCTGGTCTTTGGTAGTAATAATTAGAACATTCAGCACCTTTAAAATGGGATTTTCCTAATTTGATCTATTTCAATACAGCTTCCAGAGATTCTGAAGAATCAGTTTTAATAAAAACCGTAAGACCTCAAAGATAAATCATAGAAATTTGGAAGTGTGGTTTTTGTCACAAGACAGACGGGGTGTCTCTGCAGAACCACGCGGTGCAGAGAGAACAAGCATTCTCAGTGAATTTCAAATGCAAGTTAGTTTACCAGAACCTAATTCTCAAAAACTCTATAAAATGGGTGATTCATACATAAATGAGACACATCTTTACTGAACAAAATTCCTCATGCACAGACCTTTTCCTTAAGTGGGGATTACAGGCTTCCCATTCCACGGAATATTGACAACCCAATGTGATACTTTTCACGAGCAGTACTCACTTCTGTCTTCAACTTTTTTCAAAATTAGGCGGTACTGATACATATGGTATAAACCTCCGCATCCTGTGTGGGGAAGTTCTTAATTGTTCGGCAAGCAAATTAAGAAGATGGTCTC